ATTGAATTTCAAGTAAAAATATCTTGACGTTTTGATAGTCTGACCGCAGGAATAACTCCTAAATAAATACAACAAAATAAAACTTCCACCAAAGTAGAGTTTCCAGGATTTAGTCAAATGACATTAAGGTGTTAAACTTTAAATGTCCAGGAGGAGTCAGTATATCACATATTATGTACATGTGGGAAAAATAAATAAATATTTTTTTACTACTACTGTAATATAGAGATCATATATGATATAATTTATTTTTATTATTATTTATTATATTAAATAATAATAACAATCATATTAATAATAATTATTATTATTATTATGAAAACATATATTTACAATTTCTTTATTTATAAATCATTTAACCTTTCACGACATACCCAGATGGACCCAAAAGAGATGTTTTGTCAGATTTAATGTCTGGTATAGCTAAGAAACCCCTATGTCCTCTTGTTTTTCATATTCCCTCCACCATTAACTTTTTGGATCTTAAAATACTCAATTTGTCTCCTCTCTCCAGCCATAGTACTCATATTTCCCCCCTTTACCCACTATCTGCAGCCTGCTTGGCAGGCTAACAGACCCTGTATTTTCCAAGCCTGAGCCACTGCAGCCCAGTCCAGATGTCTCTTGTGGATCCTCTGACCTCACCGGGAGCCAAACGTCCCCTTAGAGTTAGCCGGACGTCTGGCCTTCAGGCTCAGAGGTACAATTTAAATGACTGTAATTTGAAGGTATAAAGTTCCAAATTTATTAACAGTAACATTAACATTTATTGACCACCCCTACATCTTTAGATAGGAGTGTCTGAATTAATAGTCAGCGTGTTGTTCATGAAGTGTACAACCGTCCAATGTGTGTTACCTGTTATAATTCCTCACAGAGCCGCAGAGAACAGCAGCAACAGTGAGCGAGTATAAATATATAAACCCATCCAGCCGGTGGTGGGTATGGCCAGGAGCCAGGCATCACTGACCCCTGAGCTGAAAGAAGTGTAGCATTGTCTCTCTGGGCCTCCAGCTCTGTGCGTTTCAAAATGAACAGCAGATCCCTTCTGGATTATTTACTTTTGCCAGGCTATATGCCACATATGACTCAGAATTACTACACCTTCCATTTTTCCTAAAGGAAGGAGGCCATTTTTGGCCAATAATGAACTTTATAGAAAATAATTGTAATATTTTTAGTATGTTTTTGTAGCTGTTTGGATGTATTTATAAGAAGAAAATGAGAAAACCTGACATTTTAAAGATGAACAATGGCGTGATAAGTTATCAAATATAGGCTAGTACCAAAGGAGACATTTCAGAAGCATTTTTAAAAAAAAAAAAAAAAAAAAAAAAAAAAAAAAAAAAAAAACCGCACTAACAAAAAATAATTTTACGTGAAAATCAGCCCTCTTTTACGTTTAATTAATTCAGCGCTCTATCATATATTTCCTAATGTTTGCATAGCAACGCTGTATATCAGTCCGCTCATTGGTGGAGCAGACACCGGCGCTACTTTCATGTCCCGTATCAACATGAAATAGGAGGAGCTAATAATAACGGACTCGCGCTGTGTTTCCTGCAAACGCGACTGGCGCCATTATGTCTCAGTTATGTGTATCAATAACAACATTGATAATATAAAGGTAAGTTTTTAAAATAATTTCAGACAGCATACTGAGAGTAAAAATAAATGGGAGTAAAATCACAACTGCCATTTTGAGGGAAATCCTTTTTCAAGGGCTTTGCACAAAACGACATTTGCAAACATAATATTGTCAAATAAAACATAAAAGTTGCCAACGTAATATCCACCTTTTTCCTGCGGGTTTTTTTTTTTTCAATTATGGGAAGCACTTCCGGTTTGTGGAAGTTCCACTCAAAAAGACTGCTACAAATCATAAGATTGCGCTAATCCTTAACCATCATTTTGACTGAATGGGCTGTAAATTTTTTAAATTCATTTTAGATTTTCAGAAGTTAGGAGAATAACGTTACATTTGGCATAATTTGATGTGATATACAACAATATCTATAGTTATTCATGATATATTGAAATAATTTGTTAATACAATTCATAGAGCGAACCTTTTGCTGATTGTTTACAGTGTAAATGGAAGTTACTTCCATAATTTGCGCAAAGCATCATGGGGCATAGGAAAAAGGTGGATAGGACATGAAATGCAGCTCACCCTAGCTAAAAGATTCATTAGGGCTTTTCACACTGCGCTTAACCCTGGGTTATCGTCGTTCTAAACACCGCTTTTAACCCCTGGTAAAGAAACGTTTCACACCTGTAATTTGAAAGCAATGTTAGCACCTCTTTTTACCCAGGGTTATGAAACCTGCTCCGGAGCAGGGTTAACCTCGCATTGCGGTGCTTAGTTTGTTCAGTGTGAAATGGAGCGGTGTTTGCTTGTTGCTGCTGGATGCTTGGCAACAGACAGCCAATCAGAAATTGAGCAGCAAGGCTCATGTCACGTCAGTAACAGGAAACGTGCGTCGTGTAAACAGCAGCCGGTGAGAGAAAAATAAGAAATGTCAAAAGACGGAACGCGTGTGAACTGGAGTGATGAGGAGACGTTATTATTCTTACAGCTAATTCTAGTCTCTCCACACTTAAAAGAAATTCTAAGAAATATTCACATACTTTGCTCCTTGTTTTCCTTCTTTTGTACTGTTGTCTTTGTTTTCTTGACGTACGCAGCGACATTTTTTTAAATAACTGGCAAGACGCGGGAAAAGCCGTGTAAACAGGTTGCCTGCTGTTCGTCCAATCAGTGACAGTGACACCGCAAATATGCAAATAAGAATGACTGTTAACCCGGGGTTTAGGAATGTAACGTTACAGTGTGAAACATCTGTGAATGAATACCCAGGATTAACAGTTAACCCCCGGTATAGTATGAGTAGTGTGAAATGTGATTACAGATAACCCAGGATTCAGGATGACCCATCCAGGGTTAACAATTTCAAGTGTGAAAAGCCCTATTCTGGTAAATCCAACTTTGCAGCATTGAACACTATTGTGTATTTTAAGGTTGTGGTAAGTCTAAATGCATCATTGAAAGTGCAAAACAACTGACGGAGGAATTTTCACATTTTGCGGAATGTGACAAGCTAACTGAGCCATCTTCACACAAAATTAATTACTGAAGGAGACACCAACTAGGCCTCTCGCAATAATCAATATATCGACTTATCGCGCAATATATATACATGACCTCAATAATTTTTGGTGACGCAATATATCACCCATTATATTTACTTAAAAATGTATGTCACCATGTTTTGTACATTCCACTTGCGCCTGTCTTTTGCAGCTTCTCGTACTTGGTGTAGTCATGAGGTGCTAGTTCACATTTAAAAAGTGCTTCTACAAAAAAAGTTTCATCTGCAGATATGGCCTTGTTTAGGGATCTGTGTCTTCGTGCATACGGACATCTGACTGCTAAGTAGTGATTGTTTTTCGGCAATAGTGTGCACCCTCAGTTTACAGAGAAAAGAAGGTCAGGAAAAAATCTGTAGATGGAAAAATCTCCATACAAGTTCTTTGTGCATTTTTCTTTTTTTGTACTTGTTACTTTGCACTTTTTGTTAGAAAATGTTTATTTACTATTTATTCAGGTTTTTTAAGGTATCTAACATTTTGATTCTTAATTTCCATGATCTAAATATTCTTAAAAATTAAAAGTTTGTTGTCATTTGGAAGTGTGTAGGCCTTCTTGCATTATTATGCTGTTACATTATGATTATATATTCAGTGGCATAAAATGGTCTTTAATATGACAATAATATCGCTTATCGCAATTATTTCTGGGGCAATATATCGCACAACAAAAAGTTGTTATCGTGACAGGCCTAACACCAACAATACATAGCTAAAATAGCTCTGAACACAGTAATGTGACAACACCTAAAATCATCCCCAAAGGAATAAAGGTGCTTAATATGTTAGAACAACTTAGGCTTTCTTTGACATCTTCTAAAGCAGCTCTTGCATAAGCTGAGAGGAATCAGGCCAGATGGAAACCCACAAAATAACAACTTACATTTGAGGTAAAAGGAACACAACATGATATAGAGTAGCAAGAAGGTTTTTGTCACACCATAGCCATTTAGGAACACAAGGGTAGGTTGGAAGCTTTGTTACCATCCTGACCAGTGGTTTCAGTGCCTGCTAGCCTATGTTATAACACAAATAAAGAACTGAGCATGTGCAACTACAGATCTGCCCGCTCACACTGAGTGCACATACTATTATGATGTCATTTGAATTGATTTAATAATTGAATAAGAGTATTCAACAATGCATTTCTTTCTCAATTTCTTCACTTTGACATTGCATTAATTAAACTCTGGAGATTTCATTTTGAAAGAAAGCTGACTAACTAATTTTGACCATCTCATTTGTAGTCATGGCTGTGGCTGAATAAATGGTCAACATTAAATGCCTGGCTAGTACTGCAGTGCTGGACTGACAGGAAAGTGCCCATAAGAACATGGCTAAAATAAACAACACTTGCAAACCAAATAAGATCAAAAGTGTTCGGCAACCACTTCTGGCTGATATGTCCTTTACGGTATGTAAAACTAAAGTTTACATGTGGATTGAATTCATATTAATTCATGCCTACATAAACATATATTATTGACATAAGACTTCTGGATTAAAATATGCTAACTGGACATGCAAACATTAAACGTACCATGCTAAAGTATTTTTTTCAGTAGAATGCAAATGTAATCAAAATAGATTCCATTTCATCATATTTAGGCCCTGTTTACACTAGCGTGTTTTCATTTAAAAACGGCGTTTTCACTGCGTTTCAGAAACGATCTCCGTCCACACTACATAACTGAAAACGCATGTCACATGACCGTTCATGCAGGTACAACAATGAAAATGCCCTAGTGTAAAAGTAGCCTTATTCTTTAAAGTAGTGAAATCTGAAAAATTTTCGAAAAATAACAATGCAGTACTCAACCAACAAGCAGATTAATGTTACAAATATTTAATAGGAATTTGGACAAACGCAAACAACAATTCAAAAGTTCAATAAAGGCAGCTTTTTAAAATGCAAAAATTGAAAATATAAAGAAGCATAACAGGCTTGCAGATGCTGTAGTGGTATCTCAGGTTTAAATTTTAAACATAGGGGAACAAAAAAAGATATCCTAGCAATTTTTTTTACATTATTCACTATTTGCAGTCCAAATTACTATATAATTACTAAGGCACATAATATTAGCAAAAGTGATTTCTGACATTTTTAACGACAGAATGTAGGATTCTGTTGGGTTCATCAAATTATATAAGAAAAGCAAGCCATTATTTACACAACAGTAAGATTTACAATTCAAATAAGATTATACATGCCGTACATGACTTTATATAAAACCTGGTCCAGTATATAGACTTTAAAAAAAAATCAATCTGGCCCCTCAACATCCTCGGCAAATCATTCTGATTAAAATAAATTGATTAAATATGTATAAAAAGTTCTCTCTCATTCAAAGGAAACGAAGACACACTAAAGGTTTTTTTTCAAGGAGGACCATTGTGAGCATTGCAGTCTTGCTCCGCCCCCTCCTGTCAGTCCAGTGGTTTGTGGGAGATGTAGTGTTCGGCCTCATTTCTCTCACACAGGTCCAGAATAACCTAAATGGTTATTGTGCTCTACCTCGCTTAAATGTAAGCTTGGTTTCCGTTCCTCACTGTCCACTGTCTCTGGACTTGAGCATTGAGGATAAGGACGAACCTTGAAGAAATTTGATACGTATATCACCTGCAAGAGACAATGACTGTTAGCAGTTATGCGGTAATGAAATCACAATGCTATGCTTTAATGTTTTTTATACATTTTTCCCCATCGTTCTTTCCATTACAAATAAATTAATAATTACCAAATTTCTAACTTTAATTCTTTCTAGTACTGTGTAATACAGATTTGGAACAACAAAAGAGTGAGGAAATTAGTTTTTAGTTTTTTTTTTTTATGAGGTTTCTGGATATTTTTGGGGTAAACTGTCCCTTTAAAGGAAAAATGGGTTAACTTACAGTGAGAATTGCAATGAGCGCCCCCTGGAGGAGCCCCACCAGCACATCGCTCCAGTGGTGCTTATAATCAGACACACGAGTGTAACCTACATACACGGCAAAGGCCACCAGGAAGAACTGGATAGTGGGCCTCAGGAGACGAGCCCATTTTGCATTCAACCTGGCCTGAACATAGAACTGGTGAGAGAAAAGAAGAAGAGGTGACTTTCTTTAGAGGAATAATAATGACTTAATTTGTTGAGAGGATTAGAAAACTGAAAGAAATTTTTTTTAATTTTTTGTTAGCCTTTGGGAAATAACAAATGCTAACAGTTTAGCATTACCTCAGAGGGCTCTCTAAACAGCCTTTAAGATTTGTACGTTTGCTTTGTAATTCATCAGGAAATCATTTTGTATGATGCAGAACCTTGGCTGATTTCAGAGATTCGTTTTTATTGTTTTTTTTGTTGTTGTTCTGTTCTCTGATAGTTTCATTAAATTAGTTCCAGTTCATTTGCAAACTCTGCAAAAAAATAATGATTTTAAATAACTGCAAAAAATTTGAACTCGTACACCATATATTCCTCACTGTTTCCCATTTTTTGTGCATCAAAAACAGTTGCACCCTACTAAGCCTTAATGTGCAGTCATATTAGCAAAAATTTAACAGGCAAAAAGAATTATTGTCAAATGTAGCTATGTATGAACCACAGCTCACAACAAAGTCACTTTCAAACCAAGCAGCCTTCTGTCGGTCAATGCCGTGAATTTGCCTGACCAATTTGAACAATGCAAAATCTTTGTGAGGAAATCTTTCACATTGGAAATTCCCAATGGCGTGGATTCCTATCGAATAACTAGATTTTGCCCTGAAAATTTATTGAACACCAGTAAATGTCACTGCATTTAACGCCTTCATTGACATCAAATATAACTGCAGAATTAATGACTATTTTCAAACAGGTTTCCCCGAACGCTATCCCCATCTGCCATTGGTCACAAAAACACATAATCCCATCCCCAAACTTGTGTTAAATGTTTAAAGGGAACTGCCTTTTTTTTTTTTTACTATTTTGTACTGTTCTCTAAGGTCCACTTCTAATGTTATCAATATTTTTACATCAAAAAAACTCTTAATTTAGAAGTAATAGGCTATTTTCTGTCCTGTTTTGATACCCCTCATCGGAACGCTCTGTTTGACTAGACGTGACGGATTGCTGACTTGTAGTAAACGCCCAATGCTATGATTAGCTAACAGTTGTGTAAGTTTGACAGCCTACATACTTCATAGATGGACGTTTGCCTCTCTTAAGACTTGCGTTTGCCGCTCTTGTTATTTACACTACATGTGTGAATTGGTGGGCGGGGCTAAACAGGCAGCGATGTAGAAGCAGGCGTTGATCATCTTCTGCGGAGGTGGTGTTTATCCACACTATTGTGTCATAAAGTGGCACATGTCATTTTTGCAGATTGGCTTCAATATAAGCTGTTTTTAGACTAACAAGATAGTTTTGAGTTCTGAAACGTACAGGATGTTTTTATAGTACAACGACGTCAAGGTAATTTTGATTTCTCAGTTCATGACCTCTTTAATGTTTAACATGTTAGCATTTGGCTGCTGTAGCACTCACCGCTAAAAACAGCATGCAATACATCCCAAAGGAGGAGTGACCCGAGTAGAAGGACAACCTACGACACACAAATCACATACAGTTTCAAAAGAAATTCACTGAAATCAGGCCGTTAAAACATTTCCAATGAGAAACATACCGGGCTTCAGTTACATCAGTTTGGTTGCCAGTGCAGTTGATCGTGGCCATGTATCCTTTGCAGACTTTGGGAGCACATACTGTTAAGAAATGTGGCCGTGGTCGCCCAATGGTGTACTTGGCCAAGTCCGTCAGTGATTGGCTGACGGCTCCCCCAAACAGGAAGGCACCCAGCACCTTATATATGGCTGACACATATTGATTAAAGGTAGAGTTGGAGTGAATTTTTTTGCTGTACACCAGATATGCTTCACCCGAAGATATCTAGAGGAACAGAAGAGGTAAATGTTTTGAAATATTTATTTCTGTAGCTTGCGACAAAGATTAAAACAGTTAGGTTTGTCGTTAATATGTCAAACAAGTCCATGAGCACATAACGCTGTGTTGTTGTGCATAATAAAACCCTCTGCTGTGCAGATTCATGAACGGACACTTTGTTGAGAATCAGCGCGTGACTCATGGGATGATGAGATCAATGAATGAGGGACTCACGATGATGATAGTGCAGGTGATGGTGACTACAGCCAGTGTCACGTGGGTGATTGTGTCTGGTCTGAGAGGGTAACTAATGCTCTCGTCCTGGCAGTAGATGCCTCGCTCGTATGGCTGGGACGCAATATTCATTATCACAAAGGGCAGAGAAGCTACAGGAAAGAGGAAAGGAGACAAACAAACAATAAATACATCAATAAATAAAGCGATAATGCTTCCTAAATGAAAAGTTGTTGTCTAATGTGGAGAATATACAGGGTGAATATCCTGAAACCTGACAAGAACCTGTCTGGGTCATATTTAAAATAAAATAAATGCTTTCAACCATTTCTAATTACATTAATTCCAAAACAAATATTTAATGTTTAGATTATAATGTATATATTTACATAATATATGTATAAATCATGGTATGTTTGTTTTACTAAAAAATTGGGTAACTTTATAATTATAATTCAACCAAACATATTTCTGTTGATTATTGGGCGAAGTATCATATTTTTGTTATTGTTAAAGCAGTTAGATAATTACAAAAAAAAAATTCAAAATTTTTCTCATCATGACAAACATTTTAAATTCATTAAATCATGAATTTATATATGCTTTACACACACACAAACAATACAATATATACACAAATAAATAAATAAAACTGGAGCAGTTATTTTTGCATCATAGATGATTTCATGAAATGCAGCACTTTTTTTTTTTATAACTTTTAGAAAACCATCTGAATTCTGCCATGGAAGCAGTGACTATTTATAGTACCTCTTTTTTCCTAAGAGTCACACGGAAATTTATCCCACAGCTATGAGGAAGTCACCTGACCACACCATCTTAACCCAAAACACGTTGCGAGCCATACCATAAACACGACCGTACACACCCACAGCCCAGACATCCTTTCCACAACGCCTTGGTCGTGAACTGATGTGGCTGGAGATGCATATGTCTGAATGTAGCCACAGCGTGATCCTTTAATGAATGGAAAATGTCCTTGGGACATTCGGAAATGTTACAAAATCACCCAGCAACCGTGTGATCCTAAGCCACAGCGACTCAAAAGAACAGTAAGGACAATGCTACTTCCTGTAAATCCATTTTCTATTGATCAAGTGGATGTATAAAAGTGTTGTAGTAAGTTTGCATATCTTTACCGCAAGAAAATGAAAATATTCTGCTGCTTGAATGGGATCTATAGCATTTGTGTAGATATTTTAGGTATGCTATGAATGCCAAAGACCTACAGAGATATCAGAAAGATGCTACACCAGCAGGAAAACATGCAGTTAAAAAATGTTAAATATGATTCTGGACCTTCTGGTTCATTCAGTATGTCTAAATATGGATGTCCAGCACACAAATCCAGAACTGCTCAAGTTTTTTTATACCACTGTGGTATTTAAATGAGATGGTATTAAAAATCACAGAGGATCTGTGAAACAGACGGTCAGGTCTGTCACAAATTTAACTCTGGGCTCAATGTGAGGGAGTTGCTTTCACCCAGGCAGTTTTCATATTTGAAAAAAAAAAAAATGTTCAAATATTATTCTACAAGGGCCATTAAAAATATACAAGAAGTTCATAATCTGTACATAAGGGGCTCATTAATAATCACATAATATACTACTAAAAACATTTCTATAGAGCACCATTCATACAAGATTGCAGCTCAAACTTGCACCTTACACAACAGAAATGTTTTCGTTTTGAAGGAAACAAAACATTTCTGTTGTGTAAGGTGCAAGTTTGAACTTCTTGTTTTGATTTAAAGTGTTTACGAAGACGTTTTCTTTAGTTTTGCACCTTACAAAACAAATATGTTTTTCCAGACAAATGTTTACAAATGTTTTCTTTTGCTCTGCACCTTACCAAACAAAACTTTTGTCTTCTTTTGTTTTGTTAAACATAAATAAAAATAATAGTTTTAATAACATATTATTAAAAATAGTGTTTTTTTTTTTTTTTGGGAAAATTGCTATAGCTGTGGTCAGACTCATCTTTTGTTGTTAGTTTATAGGAAGAGAGAAAAAGAGAAAGAGAAAATTTACCAATCACTTTAATGTCACTTTAATGATTGCAAATGATTGCAAAGATACTATTTAAAATGAACTGAGCTGGATGATATCATCACTGAATTCAATGATGAACTGTCTTTAACTGAAAAATTAGTGTTTACTATTGTCATTTTGCATTATTGACACACTATTTTCCTAATTAATGCTGTTCAGTTGCTTTGACACAATCTGTATTGTTAAAAGCGCTATATAAATAAAGGTGACTTGAATTGACTTAATGTAATTTAAAAGTTTGGCACTAGAAATTTAGAAAATGAAATCATTGAAAAATAAGTTGAAATGCAATGGTGCAACATAACTTATCCAAAACAAGTCATTTTGAGTTCCAGTGTATTCTTGAGACAAGTAGCTTCATGTTGTCATGACAACAGATAAAGAGTAATAGAATCATAGAGGCACTTAAGAACAAATAAAAGTGTCTTTGTATTCCCAAAAACAAAGAACAATGGTGTTTGAAATGACACTGTATTTCCATCCACTGTGGTCTGAACAGTGACAATAAACACACAAAACATAATGCACTGACAAACCTTAAAGCCGAGGTTTGAAATCCTCAGCGGTGCACTATTAAAACAATACCGCTCATGTAACTTTGCCCCAAATACGGTAATTATTATTAAGTTCTATGTAACTGAACAGAGAATTTTGAATGTTTAGTAATGATTCACAATTTGGTCAAAAATCCAGGTCAGAGGATTTTACTGATACAGATAGCTAGGTTGGACCACACTGGCCAATACGATTAATCACCAGATGGTTTTTAAAATGGATACTGAATGAAAACTTCAATAGTGCTTTACTATTTAAAAAAAAAACGTACTGAACCATACTTTATAAATGAATAAAAAATAAGAATATGAATTATATTGATCATTAAAGTTCGTAAAATTCATAGTACCTAACTAATGTTAACTGAAGACACTTTAAAATTAAAAAATGTATTCGTAATTGACACTGTGGCGCAGCAGGATTTACTGTCGGCTGCATTTAAATCCACGTCTTCCTGCTCTGTGCAGCGCCCAGCCTCACGTGTCAAAACAAACAACAAGAGGTGTTAGTGATTTCTGCCTCTAGAGGCTGCTCTTGCACTGTATAATGACAACGGACCCTTCTCAGCAGCTCCAGCAACGAGCGCAACCCGGAAAACTATCGGCATGCATTTTTGCCAAAAGCCGATAGTTCCGCCAATCAACTATCGGAGCCGATTAATCGGCAAAACCGATCAATCGGTCAATCTCTACTAACTAACTACTAAATTAGACTCACGCCCCGTTTACACTAGTGCATTTTAGTTTTAAAACGCATAACTTTTGCTACGGTTATGCCTGTCGTTTACACTACTCCGGTATATACGACCCTCGAAAACGGAGACTTTTGAAAACGATGGTGTGGCTGCCCACATTCTTTCTGTGTATCCTTGACAACTGTGTAAACAATAACATCATGCTCATTGTTGTACCCATAGATATGTATAGGTAGATTGCCCATTCGACCGCTCCAAACACGCAGACGTGTCCGCCATCTAAATAATAGGGAATTTACCTATACATATCTATAGTTGCACCTGCATGAATGGTCATGTGACATGCGTTTTCGGTTGTGTAGTGTAGACAGAGATCGTTTCTGAAACGCAGTGAAAACACCAGTGTAGACGAGCATCTTTTTTATTTTAAAACACCATTTTAAAACGAAAATGCAATAGTGTAAACAGGGCCTCAAACAGATGCAGCCTTTTTTTTTTTTAAGTTTATTCATCATTGTTATTCTGCAAGGACTATTTTAAAGATACACAAACAACGAGCTCATAACATGAATGTAAATAATAAAGAGCTCACTGAGTTTAAGAAAATAGTCCAGCTTTTTATAGAGCACCTTTCATACAAGACTGTAGCTCAGTTTTCTTGCACCTTATAAAACAAAACAAAAACAACTTTTGAAAAACTCTCTAAAAATGTTTTTGTTTTGCACTGTACAAAACAAATGTTTTTTGAAAAACAGTTACAGATGTTTTATTTTCTTTTGTCTTGCACCTTACAAACCAATTTTTTTTTTAAACATTTACAAATGTTTTCTTTTGTTATCACTTTACAAAACAAATGTTTTTTAAAAAACATTTAGAGTTGTTTTATTTTCTTTTGTTTTGCACCTCACAAAAAAGTTTTTTTTCCCCAAAACATATTTATGTGTTACATTTTGTTATATTAAAAGAAAACAAACATTGGTACATCACCTTAAACTGTTCACTAGCCAACTAGTTAACTCAAAATGATGTGATCCACTTGCTAAAAATTGTTTACTGAATGAAAACTTGTATTTTTGTTTTCATTAAGGAGATTTATTCCTTACGAACAATGCAAGAAAAAGAAACTTTCCCTCAGGTCTCATAGACCATCCTGTTGAGGGAGACCCCAAAACAATGGCTCCAGTTTTATCACTCCATTGAGATTCAGACACTTTGAGGATCTGGAGCTGAGCTTGGATGGCATGTTCTGTATGTTTGCCAGCTGAATACACTCCAAAAAAATAAAGTAAAAGCCCAATAAAACAGTCTCATTTTTCCCTTTTCCTCTCCAAACTTTTCAACTGTTGAGACACGTTATTAGGAAACAAAGACGGGTAAAAATTGCAAGATGGAAAACTGAAAGATCTCACCCAGAGAAGTACTTTTTTTAAAATTTCAAACTGTCATTGACTAATGACAAACACAATCAAAACATCGAGAAACATTGAGAACCGAGTCTAAAATCTGTCAGCTTTACATTTAAAAAGGCTGAGCTGTATATTCTGGTTCTCATCAGTGAAATTCATCAGTATTACTTCTGAAATATTTTCCAGACTGTGTACCCAGGGAATTAAGTCAGTGTAAGGTACATTAAATGTGGTCAACGTGGAAGAGCTTCAAACTGTTTGAGTTCAAAGCCTCAGTTGGCAGGTGCGAGCTCGGCAGTCGTTTAATTACCCAACGAAACAGGACTGCAGGGAGAGATGTGGCGCGTAGAAGTGAGAGGGCGAGATGTGCTTAAAGAAAGTCGTGCTTGCTGCTTGACACCCAACACGTTGCAGTATTGGGGCAG